TTCTAAGACAAAGGAATTTTTTTTTTAGATGAGATTAACATTTACATTAGCAAACTTTGGGTAGAGTGAATTACCTTCCATAATCTGGTGTCTCGTCCAGTCAGTTGAGGGCCTTAAGAGAAACAAGATGTGGTCCCCTGAGAAAGAGAGAACCCTGCTTCCAGACTGCCATCGAACTTGAATGGCAACATCACCTGCTCCTGGGTCTCCAGCCTGCCCTGCAAATTTTGGACTTGGCAGCCTCCATAATTGCATGAGCCAATTTCTGAAAATATTTACTTCTATCCTTATCTACATAATTTTTCTCTATGCACCTATGTGTATGGATATAAATATATAGAGAGATGCATACATATCTATATACATATGTCCTATTGGTTCTGTTACTTTGGAGAACCCTGACCAATGGTGTTAAATGCTACAAAACTGTTGAAGAAGTTGCAGATTTTGGAAAAGGCTATTATATTAGCCAACGACGAGGAAGAGATCAATTTCCCTGAGCACTCTAAGGAGAGTTAATTAGAGCAAGGAATGAGGCGGAAAGAAAAGCGGAAATCCTGCTTAACTCATTTACTGGAGAGGAGTCAAGGATCAGAGGCACAGGTGGAGGAAGTGAGCTTTAGGAGAAAGAGGGGTGGCTTTTGCCTAAATTAGAAAAAAGAAAAGGAAACTCATTGCAGCTTTCAGGCAGGGGGCTGGGGTGAGCCAGTTATTCTGAGCAAATGAGACACTGCTCGCGAACGCTGACATGGACTTTCTACCGTCATGAACACAGGAAATGTTGTGCCATCAGTCATTCCATTCTTCCTTCTCTAATGGCCTCTCTTTAGCTATTTCCTTTCCACTTTCAACATTGACAGGGCTTCTGTACAGCCTTCAGCCACCCCCACTCATCTCAAGTTAAAAACAAGATTAAGCAGTTTCCCCCTTCCCCAACCCACCCCAGCTGGTGCCACCTGGCCCAGCATACACCACATCCCAATGGCCATAATCCAGTCTCTCAGGGGGAGTCACTCCAGATGACCCTGGTCCAGCCCTCTGGTTGTTGACGGAAATTGCCTGAATTGCAGCTGAAATCTTCTCCCTAAGCCTAGGGTCACCTCTAGGAAATCCTCTCTCTTCTTTTCTTATCTGAGATGAGGACCGACTCCTTCTTTACCCTTCTCTTTCTGCTTTCTTGGCTTTGAACTATGACCTCTGCTGCCCACCGACTCTTCTCTTTTCTGCCACTCATAAGGCGAGGATTCTTCCCCCAGAGTCCTTTTGGAACGGGGATTCATCCTCAGTACCTCTTCAGGGCTGGGTACCACCTTTGCTCACTCAGGGCCCATCTGCAACCATCTCTTTGCTGATGCATTTGTGTTGCCATAGCAACAGCCCAGGATGTCCGCATGCTTTAACATTACAGGGGCAGGGGCTAGGCCATTTTTTCGCACCAACTAAAGAAAGCTGGGTAAAAACGAGGGTCATTTTTTGCTATTTCTTTTTTTTAATGATGTAAGCTCTAATTTTATTTCTTTTTTTCTTTTGGATGTGTCATACTTGTATATATTTTGGGGATACATGTGATATTTTGATGCATGTATATAATGTGTAATGGCCAAACCAGGGTAACTGGGACATCTGTCACCCCAAACATTTACCTTTTCTTTATGTTGGGAACACTCTGATTTTTCTCTTTTGGCTATTTCTGAAATACACAATTAATTGTTAACTCTAATTTCCCTACTGTAGTATCGAATACTTGCTCCTTCTATTTAGCTGTATTTCTGTATCCATTAACCCACTTCTCTTCCTCTCCCCACTGCCTTCCTTCCCAGCCTCTGGTAATCATTCGACGCCCTACCTCCATCAGGTCCATTTTCGTAGCTTCCTCATGTGAATGAAATCATGCAGTATTTGTCTTTCTGTACCTGGCTAATGTCACTTCACATAAATGACCTGCAGTTCCATCCATATTGTTGCAGATGACAGGGTTTCCTTCTTTATTTTATGGCTGAATAGTGTTCCATTGTGTATATGTACCGCATTTTCTTTATTCATTTATCTGCTGATCTTAAGTGGATTCAATATCTTGGCTGTTCTGAATAATGCCACAGTAAACATGGCAGTGCAGGCATCTCTCGGATGTACTGATTTCCTTTCTACTGTTTGGATATATACCCAGCAGCGGTTGCTGGATCATCCAGTAGTTCTATTTTCAGTTTTTTTAGGAACCTCTATACTGTTTTCCATAATGGTTGTACTACTTTACATTCCCGCACTTTTGGTACTTCCTGTCAACAAATATTTGAGCACCCTCTGCGAGAAGCAGTGTGGTGGACTGTGTCTTAGCACACAGGCATTGGATTTAGCCTGCCTAGGTTCGTAGCCCATGATCTCCACTTACTAGCTCCGTGGTGCTAAGCACATTATTTACCCTCTCCATACCTCAGTTTCCTCATCTGAAAAATGAGGACAATAATGCTGCTTACCTTGTAGAGCGGACATGAGGATTAAATAAGTTAGCGTGCAGGTAACCTCTGAGGTAAACGAGTTAGCGTGCAGGTAACCTCCAAGGTGGTTATCTCCCTTGTGTTTACAAAACAGCTCTCCTGATCCCCGCCCTAGTCCTGGGAGACTCAGCTCATACAGGAAACTCGGAATCCAGATACAGGTGACAGGGGCACATGACTGTCACCAGGCAGGCAATACCCTCTCTAAACCTCAGTCTCCTCATCTGTAAAATGGGCAGCACAGTCCCTTGGTTCCTGCCCTCAAGCTGGTTGTGAGGTTCTGCTGAGATCATGGAGAGAAGAGACTTTGCAAACTGTAAACTCGCCATGGCAAAGTGGAGATTAGAGCGAACACAGCATCACCCATGCTGATTTGCTGGGATCTACAGACAGGGGTGGCTGTCCTTGTCCCCTTCTTTATTCCAAGTTTGGGAGAAATTTTCTCTTCCCCTTGGGTCTCACCTACGTCACTCCAGCATTAAATGGGGTGGGCATGTAGGCTTGGGGATGGGGAGATGGTGCCGACTGTGGCATCAGAAAACCAGGCTGGCCTGTGTCACTTTGTGGTCCCGTTTCTTCCTGCACTTTCTTCTCATAACATTCATCCCAGCTCTGCACTTAATTGCTGGCTTTCCTCACCAGACTGGCCGTGCAACATGCTCCTCACACTCTCAGAGCTTGGGGTAGGGCCTGGTTCCTCATAGTGAGACCGATTTGGTGTGGTCCGGCCACCCTGTTTGCTTTTGGTCGCTTGCTTTTTGTTTTTTGGTTGTTTTTGTCGTGTTTCCCTTTTCCCTGAAGCTGAAGGCTACACTACTGAACACTGAAACTTAACCTGCACTGGCTACTTGATAGGTAGCATTCATAGGTCACCATTATAGGTTTCCTCAGTTGTTTCTTAGGAATTTGGACCAGCTCCTGTCCGTCTCAAACCAGTGAGACCACTGACCCTTCAACTGGGCAAGTGCCCCAGGAGGTGGCCTTTTGACGTTGGAGAACCAAAACACTTCACCCTTGGATCATGCTAACACTGCCGTTTTCTGTATATATGTCCTATGAAATACCATGAGCTCAGACTACACTGGCGCGGAATGAACCTGTTTCTTCATTTGTCCCCACTGCCATTCACCTCTCCCCAGGGCTTAGACCACTCCACTTGCCTAACCCATACATATCCTTAAGCCTTATCTTCTGGGAGGTGGATTTAAGAGCTGTTCTCCCACCTCCTCTTTAGTGCCCTTGCCAATAAGTCTTTTCTCTTTTCTAAAATCAATTTCACCTGATTGATTTCCTGCAGGTGTGGGTTGGGGGTGGGCAGAGCAGACCTAGACCTGGGCAGCAACTAGCAGCCCAGTCAATGTTTGCTCAATGAAATAAATGAATCAATAAAAAATGACAGGTGAGGATCTGGAGGGGTGCTCTGACCAGAGTCTCAACTCCCTACCTGCAGTCACTTCCCTTGGGAGTCACTGTTTACCCCAGAGGCCCCTCCACCAACAAAATCACAGAATATGATGGCTGGGTGCAGTGGTTCAGTCCTGTAATCCCAGCTCTTTGGTAGGCTGAGTTGGGTGGACCACCTGAGGTCAGAAGTTCCAGACTAACCTGGCCAAAGTTTTTAGTCTCTGCTAAAAACACAAAAAATACTAGCTGGGTGCGGTGGTGCGTTCCTGTAATCCCAGCTACTCAGGAGACTGAGGCAGGAGAATCGCTTGAACCTGGGAGGCAGAGGTTGCAGTGAGCCAAGATCATGCCACTACACTCCATCCTGGGTGGCTAGAGCCTCAAAAAAAATAAAAATAACAAATAAATCGGCGAATCGCTTGAACCGAGGAGGCAGAGGTTGCAGTGAGCCGATATCGTGCACTCCAGCCTGGCGACAGAGAGAGACTCTGTCTCAAATCAATAAATCATTAAATCAATCAATCACAGAATGTGGTGCACTCCAGACCCAGTTCTCCCATGTATAAAGCAGAAGCTTGGAGATATGAACTTGATCCCCGAAGTCGCTCAGCTCGCCAGGGGCAGAGCCAGGGTGCTCACAGGGGTGGCCAGCCTTTCACATGTGCCCGGGACACGGGACTTTCAGCACTAAAATGTGGGGTCCCGGGCGTCCTTCTCCCAGGCCCGTGACCCCATAGATGGGTGAGAAAAACGTGCAGGGCTGAAATCTGGGGTCCCCGCCCCTGCCCCAGCCACGTGGCGCTCCCGATAGTGAAAACGACTAAGATCAAACAGCTCTCCAGGTGTGTCCCTCATTGTAGCGGCAGTGCGGACATGGAGGACGTGGCAGGTCCCGGGTTCGAGGCCCGGCTCTGAGGCTGCGGGAACGCGCGGGCGGGGCGGGCGGGGCGCGGGGACTCGGTGGCGGCACAAAGAGGCCGGCCGCGGCAGTTTTGAAAATACCAAGGAAGTTGATCTGGGCCAGGGCCCAAGAAGTGACGAGGAGGGAGGGAGGCTTGCGAGCAGGGAGAGAAGGAGGGAGAGGGAGAGGAGCGGGTGGGAGGGAGGAAGGGAGGGCGCGCGGGGCGAGGGGCGGCGGCAGACCTCGCGGGACCCCAGCGGGACGCGCGGGCGGCGGTGGGATGCGCGCTCTGGGCGGTGGGGCGCGGCGCTAGGGGCCCGGCGGGGCGTCCCCAGGCTGCGACCCCGCGGGACCCTCCCCTCCGACCGCCGCCTTCGCAGTCCGCGCGCGGGAGCATGAGTCCCGGCAGGAGCCCCACGGCCGCCGGCTGCGCGTAGGACGGCGATAGGCGCCCTGGAGGACCCGCCGGCCGCCCGGCTCCACCGCAGCTCCAGCTGCCTGCAGCGGGGCGCTCCCGAGGCCCCGGAGGAAGGAACCATGAAAGGTAAGCGCGGCCGGTGGCGGGTAGCTCCCAGGGGGCCCGCCCGCACCTCCGCTCCACCCAGGGCCTGGGGGGCGCCCTTCCTGCAGGCGGGGCTGGGAGGAGGGCAGGACGCCTCTGGCTTTGCCCCTGCCTTTTGGGGCATCTTGCGAGACGGGACGGAGCCCTGAAGACCGGGGAAGCAAAGAGGAGGAGAGGGAGAATGGGGATATTCACACACGCCCCTTGCAGTCTTGTTCTCATCGGCAGTTGCTCTAACCTCACAGATAAAGTCCAGAGAAGTTTCTGATCCCTTTAACCAGTAGGCGCAGAAAGGTGTCACCAGACAACTTTTCAGCAGTGTAAATTTCGACCCTGGGGACCCATCAGAGAGGCTCCTGCAGCCCCCACCGAGCCTTTCAACCGGGGCCGGGCCTAGGATTCTCCCCAAGGACCTCCAGCCCTTCCCCAAAAGAGACCTGCGGTGTCAGAGCCCCTCAGCCCAGGCCCTGCCCTTCCCAACCGCTGAATCCTGCCTGACCCACCCTCTGACCTCCTTGGGAGGAAGCCGCTGGGGAAGCCCCGTGGGCCGGGCCTGAGCTCACCCCAAAAGTGAACCAGCACCAGAGCAGCCCTTGCAGCCCGTTCTTGGGTTAGCATAACGCCCGCAGCAGATGCTTGTGTTCTAGCAGTGAGAGCCTCACCACCTCATCCACTATGGAAAGCAGAAACTGAAAAGGGCCTTTGGGATCATCTACAGGGCTGTCACACTCTCAGGTGCCACGGACAGGTATAGAGGTGGAAGAGGTGGGGCCAGAGCTCTCAGCCTGCTTCAACCTGAGCAGCTCTGTTTGTCTCTTATATATAGAACGATCTGAGGGTTTATTGGAAGAAAGGGCTCCACCAACAAACTCCTGACCAAATGCCGCCTCCACATTGCATACTTAGGGGAACTGAGGCCCAAGCCGGTAGGGCTGGATTCATGGGTCTGCAACCAGTACCCTCCTACAAGGTCCCACACTTGGTTTAATGCTCTGCTGGTGCTATCTTGAACTTTTTAAAAATGTATTTTATTTTATTTTAGAGACAAGGACTCACTTGGTTGCCCAGGCTGGAATGTAGTGGTATGAGCATAGCTCACTGCAGCCTCGAACTTCTGGCTCAAGCGCCATTCCCATCTTAGCCTCTCATGTAGCTGGGACTACAGGTGTGCACCACCACTCCTGGATTTTTTTTTTTTTTTTTGGTAGAGATGGGGTCTTATGATGTTTCCCAGGTTGGCCTAGAACTGCTGGCCTCAAACGATCCTCCCACCTCAGCCTCCTAAGATGCTGGGATTGCAGCTGTGAGCTGCCATACGGCCTGAAATTCTTATTTTTTAGCAAGTCACCCACTCCCACCAACACACAAACACATACACTTTCATTTTACACTGGGCTCCACAAATTATGTAGCTGGTCCTGTGGACAGGGAAAATGAGTTGTTATGAATCACAGCTAGTCGCCTCTCCAAGTCCTGGACTGTCCAGGATGAGCCAAACAAGTTATAATCAGCCCTAGGGAGCCCCTGGCAGGCGGTGAGGGGAGCCTCACCCCGAGTCCTGCGCCTCACCACAGCACCTTTGCAGCTGAATCCTCCGCAGTCAGCAGGCCCAGGGCAGGCCATTACCGGAAGCCTCCGGAAGGTCTTGGACCACATCTTACATGGGGCCACGCCGCCCTGGACCTTGCTGATGGTGGTAAGATGTTGCACATTCTCAGAGTGGCTCCACCCCAATTCTAGACAATCACTGTAAAAGAAGCAGCCAGGTGTGGTGGCAGATATCTGTAATCTCAGCTACTCCAGAGCTTGAGGAGGGAGGATCTCTGGAGCCTGGGAGTTTTAAGTGTAATGAGCCATGACTGCACTACTGCATTCCAGCCTGGGCAACAGAGTGAGACCCTGTCTCTAAAAAAGTAAAATTTACTTAAAAAAAGAGGCCGGGTGCGGTGGCTCACGCCTGTAATCCCAGCACTTTGGGAGGCCAAGGCAGGCAAACCACGAGGTCAGGAGTTCGAGACCAGCCTGACCAACATGGTAATACCCCGTCTCTACTAAAAATATAAAAAAGTTAGCAGGGCGTGGTGGTGGGTGCCTGTAATCCCAGCTACTTGGGAGGCTGAGGCAGGAGAATCGCTTAAACCCGGGAGGTGGAGGTTGCGGTGAGCCAAGATCACACCACAGCACTCCAACCTAAGCCACAGTGCAAGACCCCGTCTCAAAAAAAAAAAACAATAAAGAAAGATAAGACAGGGCCAAATCCTGTGAGATAGAGAAGAAAAGAGCTGGTGTGAGTTAATATTTAGAATGAGATCCCTGAGGAGGACCCGCTGACACCATGTTGCAGGGTTCCAGGCTCTCCTTGTGCGCGGGGCTCCTGTGTGGGACCCAAGCCCTGCCTCTCTCCTCCTTTCCCTCACATCCCACAGCCTCTTCGTGTGCACAGCAGAGGTCCCGCGGGCAGCGCTGGTGTGTTTCTCCTCCAGCCTCCGGAAACCCTTCAGGGATCTCCCATAACATTGCAGGGGCTGCCCGGCTCGGGGCTGACTTCCAGCACTTCCCTCCCTGGCAGCCGGGAAGAGCCGCCGCCTCTACCTGAGCTGGAAACGGCAGGGCAGACAGCAAATATTTGGCTTTTGGGTTCTATGGGGTGTAAAAAACCTGGATTTCTTTCACCCGAATGGAAAAAGTAAAATGCCCAGCAGAGCAGGCCAGGCAGCCCCTTCCAGTGATCCCTTCTCGGGCTCCTCCAAAGGCCACACCAGTCTTCGAATTACAGCTGTTGGCAAAGGATTGTGCCCTGCTCAAAACAAACACAGTGATGTGATGTGATGTGATGTGATGTGATGTGATGTGATGTGATGTGATGTGATGTGATGTGATGTGATGTGATGTGATGCGATGTGATGTATGGGGAATGGGGGATGGTGGGGACGGTGATTAAGAAAACACACTGGTTGGGCTGCCCAGCCCACCGGTGGCCGAGTGCCAGGGCCCACTCTGCCAGTCAAGCCGTTTCCACCCGAGGCCCCTCCTGCCCTGTGGCCAACTGACTGGGCCTCCCAGGCCGCTGCCTCTTTTGATGCAAGCTGGCACCTGGCCCCCTCACATGCCCTAAGGGGACACTCAGGTGCCACCAGCCCCTTGATGACAGGCCCACCTTGGAGCTTCCCACTGGCTTGTCCAAGCCATTTACAGCCACCTGTGGGGTTGTTTCCACACCTCCAGTGAGAGGGACCCACCCCCAAGACACCCATGACACAGCCTGGCGCAATGCACAGACCGATTTGAGAGCGGGAGACATGGCTCTAGTCCTGGCGCGTCGTCTGCCCTCTCCAGCCCAGTTGTCCTCCTGGGTGGTCCCTGAGGCCCGAGAGCTCTGGGCCTGAGCACCACATGGGGAGCGGAAGTGACTCAGTGGTGAGATGGCTGGAAGTGGGCCCACCGCGTGGCCTCTTCTTTGCCCCGAGAGACTTGTGCTTGGCTGTGGTGGCCAGGGCAGTGGGCAGCCCTCTGTTCCTCAGGCGTGGGAGGAACAGCCCCTCCCTGCAGAATCAGAGAGCAGTGCCCACTTCATGCAGGCAAAGGGTGGAAGTAGGGAGAGGAGGGGCTGGGAAAACACAGCGATGCAATCCCAGGAGGAATCCAAAGAGAGGAGAGGCTCCCCATGCAGGAGCAGCCGGGCCGGGAGCCCCAGCAAGTCTGATCTCCTTCCCCAAGGGCACCGGAAGGAGCTGGGGCTAGAAGAAAAGGAGCTGAGTGGCAAAGGTGAAAAGAGCCACCAGAGGCCTGACTGAGGGGTCCAGGGAGCCCAGTGGCTCAAGTTCGGCTCCAAACCCTCAGACATCCCCCCAGCCCCGGCCAAAACAGTCACCTTGCCCTCTAGCTGGGGGTGAACTTGCTAACTGAAGACTCATGTCCCAAGGCTCATTTGAGAGCGAGGAAAAAGTCTTCTGCTTCTTGGTAGGCTAGGCTGGTGGAGAGCTTGGCGGTTTCCGTGAAGGACAGGCAGCTGCTCTGGGTGTTGGAATTGGCGCACAGGGCAGCATAGCTGGGTGTGCTTCTAATTCATGCCCTGCCCCTGTTTGATTATGTTTAATTTAGTGGGGTGTGTGTGTGTGTGTGTGTGTGTGTGTGTGTGTGTGCATGTGTAGCACTGAGTCTCAAGGTCAGGCCCAGCCCTGTCTCAGGCCAGCTTTATCACCGGGATGAAGTCCCTGGTACCCCTGGGCTCAGCTCCCTCATCCAGGTAGACCAGCTGATCCCACAGTGTGGCATCAGATTGTGAGGTTCACAACAGTGGGGTCTCTGTCCGTGTCTGACACTTAAAAGGTGTCCACTACATCTGTTCAGTGTGCATGTCTGAACTGTACATGGTATCCTCAGCACCTCACGCAGGCATTCCATAAAGATGCAGAAAGATGCCCCTATTCAATAGACTCTGATAGGGAGAATGCCGGTGCCTGGGTCCGTACGTCTATGTAGGTCTAACGACCAGGGAAACTACGAAGATCTTAGACGCTGTCCCTTCTCTCAAGGAGCTTACTCTACTGGGACACATAGGATTTGTGCCCAAGTCACTCAAAAAAGGACTAACAGTGATAAGTGCCTTAAGGGAGGTCCCAACGAGGGAGTTTTCGGGGGGGCTCCTTTCCTGACTTTCCTTCTCTGCTGCTGTTCTTAGAGATACGTCCTGGGTTTCAGCCACAGACAGGCTCCTGGTTCTTGCTGGCACCCATTCCCTGAACAGTCTCTCGCAGCCTGGAAGATGTGACACATGGGAGTTGGCAAATCTGACGGCACCAGATTCGCCTCTCTGAGCTTCACAGCCATATCTCCATCAGGGTCCTCACTGTCTCCAGGTGGAGACCTGCAGGCGCCTTCTTCAGGGTTTAGATGAGATGCCTTCCGCTCCACCTGAACCAGGCTAAAAAATGGGTTATTCTGGGATGTTGCCCCAGCCCACAATTTTCAGTCAGGCAACA